TATATATAGGATCCATTAATGCAGTTACAAGTTTTGTCAAATAACTTAATTTTCTTTAATCCAAATCATCCCATTTTTAGCCACTTCATCTAGATATAGATCAGGTATAAACAGAAGCAGACTATTATTTGTACTAATGCCATTGAACAGGAGATTATTTGATTTTCTATGCAGACTCGACTGTTGACGTTGTGTAAATAATTTGGTGAGGGATCAAATGAGTTTTGTTGTTGTTAACCTTGGTTTTCATCTGACTTCACGTTGTAGCAAAATGTCTGATTTCCTTTTGGCTCTTCACATCAGAAAAGCTTTAAAACGGGCGTTACATTCACATTGTCTGGAGTGTTTTGCTTCCGTTGGAATGGAACAGTTTGAAATGTTTGAAATGTGGCGCCTCACATCATGTGATTCGATACGGAATGTTGCATGATTCTGTGTCTATGGGTGCCGTTGAGTCACTGTAACTTGATTTCTCTTAACCCAAACACACTACTTTAGAGCTGTGCCAGATATCAGATAAAGACCTTTGTAAAAAAAAAAAAAAAAATGTTTAATTTAAAGATGCATGTTAATTGTACTCCTGATCACATTCAAGGTTGAAAGAATAGTTTTGCCGAAAATGTACTCTCTTTCAGGCCATCAGAGATGTAGATGATTGTTTCTTCATCAGATTTGGAGCAGTGGATATATATCTAGCAATAGATCTTCTGCGGTGAATGGGTGCCGTCAGACTGGAGTGATGTGGATTAACGTTACTTGTGGATTATTGTGATGTTTTTATCAGCTGTTTGGACTCTCATTCTGACGGCACCCATTCACTTCAAAGGATCCAATGGTGAGCAAGTGATGCAATGCTACATTTCTCCAAATCTGTTCTCATCTCATCTACTGTACATCTTGGAAGGACTGAGAAAATTTAGATTTTTAAGGTGAACTACTTAAAATACCAACATAAGAGGTCACGATAAGAAGCCAGTCGCTATTTTTTCCTGTGAACTGGACATTCGTACCAGTGCCAGTGAGAAATAGTTTTTCTTCTGTTCTATTCAGTGTTTTGGTTTACATACTCAGTGTTTCTACCTCACTTTTCCTGACTATCGTGTGTCGCATTTAGTTCGATCTTATGCCGTTCGCATCTTTTATCCGTAGCATCTCGAACAGACATTGCATTTCAATGATTTTTTTATTTTTTTATTATTATCTAGTTGCAGAGCAAGTTGAATCTTCATTTATTATAGTAAAACTAAAAGGTCTTTGCATTTATCGCACATGATCTCTTTATTGATGGATATAGTTCCTGATATACCTCCTCTTCAGTGTTTCAGATGCTTTCTTCAGGTTTCTTCACTTCTAGTTGTTCTTCTATCAAGACAAAATCCACAGGAAGTTGATGTTTCTCAAAGGACGTTCAAGGTCTTGTTAGGGTCAGACTTTTAGTGTAACTCACCTTGAAATACCAAAAAAACCTCACCGACTCGCAGTAACGTCATGTTTCTTGTCCCTCAGGTGTTCACTGAAAAAAGTTTGCAGGTCAAACAAACAGAACGACTATTTAACAGTCCATTCTCTCTCGGAATACTAACCTAAGCAGAGATACGCACATTGAGTAATCACTACAGACACAGAAACCAAACTGTTCAATTGTTTTCTTTCTGTCCAAGTTTCACAGATTATTTTGAGATTACAGAGGTTTTATATTGTACAAATGTCTTCTTCTTGTTAATATTGAGCTGGGTTTGGTTTATGATGCTATGAGCCATTCGATGCTTTTGCAAAGCAGTCTTTCTCAAATGTATGTAGTCTTGTTTTGTTGAAATAAAGAAATAGGAGTGAATATTTTTGTCTTGGTTGTTGTGTATCGTGAGTTTTTGCTTTATTGTCACAGTTATGTCTTTTTATCCTATAATTGCTGTTATAATTTGACTTTATTTCTACTTTAAATAATAGACTTATCTGACAATTATGACATTTGTCATACTTTCTACATTTTATGCTGTAATTATGACTTTTTATCTCCTAATTTCTGTTTATGTCATAATTACGACTTTTTATCTAATAAGGACTATTATAATTTTATCTCTGTTTCTAATTTTTATTTGACATCTCATAATTATGACTTCATATATCATGATTTTCACTTTTTATAGTCTAATTTGTGATATTATTTTATTATTATTTTATAATTATGATATTATTTATATCATAATTTTGACTTTTATCCCAATGATTGTCATAATTTGACTTTTTATCTCTATTTCTGTTTTTTATGTGATTTTTAAATCTATTTTTTGTTGTAATTTTGTTTTTATATAATTGACTTAGTCATAGTTTTTACATTTTATCTCCTAATTTCTGCTTTTTGTGATATAATTTCGACTTTGTCATAATTTCGACTTTTTATCTCCTGAATTCTGCCTGTATGTCAGAATTTCGAATTTGTGTATCATAATTAAAAAAAAAATAATCTCCTAATTTCTGCTATTTTTACCCATTTGGTCTGCTTTTTATGCCATAACTTTGACTTTTGATCTCATTTTCTACTTTTTGTCATAATTTCGACTTTTTATCTCCTAAATTCTGCCTTTATCTCAGAATTTCGAATTTGTGTATCATAATTTCAATTTTTTAAATCTCCTAATTTCTGCTTTTTTCCCATTTGGTCTGCTTTTGACTTTTGATCTCCCTTTCTACTTTTAATCATAATTTCGGCTTTTTACCTCATAATTATGGCTGTCGTAATTTCGACTTTTTGTCTTTTTAATTTCTACTGTTTGCATCTCCTAATTTCTCATTTCTTTTAGTCATTATTTTACATTTTCATGTCATTGTTGTGATGATTTTTATATATCTTTTATTTCTATTTATTTCTATCTTGATTATTGTCAGTTTTGCTGTGTTAAGCCTGATATTGCTTCACAATGTTAGCCATAATTATAATTACACATTTGGTCACATTTGGCACATTCGAAAATATAATGGCTCAGTTGTGTAATGAAGTCGAGCGGTTGTAGAGAGCCGTCCTTTAGCATTCATGACAGTTATTCAGCTGCTGCAGGTACTACCTCAACTAAACTTTAATGGATTTTATTTATTTATTTATTGTCAGAATACAAGGCTACTTTTTGGATGCTTCTTGGCAACATAATGCCATAGTTATGGAATGTTAACCAAATCTGCAATGAGAAAGAAAGAAACAAACCAGCAAGCAAACAAAGATTTTATAATTTCATAATATTTTGCAAATAATTTTCACACAGATATTAAAATTATTGTTTATTTTATTATACAATTTCTATGAATTAAAAAAAAAACGTTTAAAAATGTTATGTTTATTATATGATAAAATTTTCTAAAATAATTTTGACAAAACATTTTAGTAGAAACCATGTTTTAAAAGATAGAAACATTTTGTATAGTTTCGTAACTATAAACAATTCTTAAATATATTTTCGTGCACATATTGAAATTATTTTTCAATTTTGTTAATTACAATGTTATTCTCTGTTTCGATCATATTTTACAAAACACACATAAGACATTTTGTATAATTATGATTTTAAAATAATTTTCTCAAGTCATTTCTGTTTAGATCGTATTTTATACATGCACACATACATCATTTCATATTTCATTAATAATAATTTTCACAAATAATAGATCATTTTACAACTTCATTTAAATATTTGAATATTTGAATCATGTACACACAAATGTTTAATATTTTATATATAATGTTACACAATAAATATCGAATATACTTACAATTATTCTACACTGTTTAGATCAGATTTTTAATGTTATTCATCTTGTTACAATGGATTTGCATAGTTTAAGATGAAAAGTCTGAAATGAATGGGCAAATAACCTGTACAGCTACACCGGTCAAAAAATGACCTTGAATTTAATGGTAAAAGACTGTAAAAATGCTACAGTAAAAACCTGTTAAATGGTTAATGGTAAATTCCCCTACACTGTAAAAAATGACCGTGAATTTAACGGTAAAAGACTGTAAAAATGCTATAGTAAAAACCTGTTAAATGGTTAACGGTAAATTCCCCTACTATATACGGTGAAAAACTGTATTGGACATTACATGTATTGGACATAAATTTTACGGTATTATACCGTTTTTGGAAGTTAAAAATACCTATTATACCTGTTATACAGTGAATAACCGTAAATTGACATTCCCAGAATTCCCTGCGTTACATTTCAAATTTGATGTTTTTTTGTTGAAATAACTGTTTCTTCTTAGTTTTTTCTTATCAGTTTTGTATATTAGGTTTGTGTGTTACACCTAATGTTGTTAAATGAATGTTTATTGCATTATTTCAGTTTCATGTGTGTTACCGTGATGGTGTTTAATGTTTGTGTGAATGACTGTGCACCTTCTATATATGTTATTATTTAAAAGCTGCTTGTGATGGGCTTTGGTTCATCGTGACTTTCTCATCACCACCTGCATTTGGTGGTTATCAGTGTATTACAAAGGTACAAAACAGATTTCAGTACTTCAATAGGTTGGTATATTAACATATCAGTTAATTAAATTATGGTATTTAACTGTAAATTTAAATTAAAACCTAAAACGTTGCTACCGTATTTTTTATGGTAAAATTCCGGCAACCACAGCTGCCG